TTCTTCTTCTGATATCCTTATTCACTGTCAAGCTCTCAAGAACATAGTGAGCAATTGAGAAGACCATGGCCTGGATCAGGCACACCTTAGTCTTTTTGTTGTGGTTGTTTACCCTTTCTAGGAAGAATCTGTTTGTTTTCCTAGTAGTCCATGGCACCCTCAATACTGTTCTCCAGCACCGCAGCTCAAAGGCATCAATTCTCCTTCTATCCTTCTTGTTCGTTGTCCAACTCTCCGATGCATAACGAGTGATTGCAAAGACCATGGCCTGTATCAGACGCACCTTGTTCTCCAGAGAGATACCATTGCTCTTCAGTACTTTGGAGAGGTCCCTAACAGCAGACTTTCTCATGGCATTGCACCTTTTAATTTCCTGACTACTGGTGCCGAGGGTGTTGACTGTGGAGCCAAGCAAACTAAAGCTTTGAACAATCTCAATCTCTTCATCATCCATCTTGATGCTGCCAATTGGTCCAGTGCTGAGAATCTTTGTCTTCTTGACATTGAGCCTCAATCCATATTGAAGGTTGCAGTCCTTGACACTCTGCAGCAAGCGCTTCAGGTCCTCCTCAGTTTCAGCAAGCAGGGTTGTATCATCTGCATAACGCAGATTACTTCTGAAAAAAAATCTTATTTACTAAACTCTTAAATCTTCCAGGAAAATCAATCTATAGTTTCCCCAGTTAAACCTGTACATATTGTCTTCTCTCTAACCTACTTTTACTGTGATTTAATTCTTTCTTTCTTGACCTTTACTCAGAGGAAGCAGATGAAATAGGAAATAACTGCATACTGCCACACATTCAATATCCCTGAAATATATTTTGCCTTGTGACCTTTAAATTATGGGGATAAATAAAATGAATCACATCTCCTCTTATGTACTTGATCTGAGGGTCAAGATATGTTTGCTTTTCATCTATATGAAAATGCTTTAGGCTGTGATTGCCATGGAGTAGGAGCGGGCATTTGAAGAATGGGTGGTTAGCAATTGAGTCAGACAAAGGAAGAAATGATAATCTGAAATGAAAAAGCAAGAACTAGGGGATTCTTTGTAAGAGAGACCGTGATTGCTGATGGCCACTTGGCTTTCTGTAGTTGAGGGTCAGGGGTATAAGAACAATGTGAAGATATCTAGACTGTGAGAGAAAACACCAAGGCACAGTGCTGGAGATTACACAGAGGATGTCATAGCAGTGAGGATAGGCTTTGAAATGGAATGGACTGCCTCGGGGGTCCCATGGCATTTAATCTCCCATTTAGAAAGGATTTTCTGTAAATGCCATTTTAACATTGAGGCTGATTTCCCCCAATAAAACATTGTAAGCAGTTTTAAAATTTCCACTGCCAAATGTTTTTTGCTTGATAAATTGAGTCGTGCTTTGACTTGGGGGGGGGGGGAAAGCAGGATTTAATAAAGCCCAGTAGTATTTACAGAAATAGAAAAGTTGAAAATCCAGCCAAGATTTTCTGGTTTTTCAAATCAAACATGGTAATATTTTCAAGTGAAATCCCTAGATTATTAATGTTAATTTAGTCAGCATTTACAAGAAAATGCGTGGCAGTAATATGAAAATTTGCAGTTGAATGTTTTATGTCAGGAGACACTGGCCATGATTGCAGTTGTTTAAAACAGATCGTTTTCCGAGTGTATTACGTGCTGCTTTTTTTTTTTTTTTGGCTGTAGATATTGACGAGTGTGGAACCGGAAGGCACAGCTGTGCCAATGATACCATTTGCTTTAACTTGGATGGTGGATATGACTGCCGGTGTCCTCATGGAAAGAATTGCACAGGGGACTGTATCCATGAGGGAAAAATTAAACACAATGGTCAGATCTGGGTGTTGGAAAATGACCGATGCTCCGTGTGCTCATGCCAGGTTTGTACAAATACAAGTTTTATGTTTTTTATGAATGTATGATTGTCGTACATTGTAAGTGCACAGCTAGATGAGATCTGACAAATTGATACATCCTCTTAATCACTTGTATAGTTAATTAATAAACAAACAAACAAAAAAAAAACCACCCCAAGCTCATTGTTTTCAAGCCAATTCAAACTCATGGTGACCCTTCATCAGGTTTTCAAAGGTGTAAATCTTTGTGGGAAGAGACTGTCTCTCATTTTTCCATACAATGGCAGGTGTGTTTAAACCTTTCAATTAGCAGCTGACACCACCACTAGAAAGAAACCTCACGGTCATTGAGTCATTGAGTCTCTTTGGAATCGCAGCTGTCCATCTGATTGGCAAGGCTGTAAATCTTCACAGGAGGAAGCTACCCATTGCTCTCTTGTAAAGTCGTGGATGGTTGTGAACTTCCAGCCTTTTGGCTAGCACCTAAAAGGCTCTACACTATGCCACCAAGTATCCTTAATTTATTAATTGCCATTAAAATAATAGAACACTCTTATCAAACAAAAATGTAGCTGGGTGTCCTTTGTTAATACCACTTTCACATTCCCAAACAGCCACTGCTTATAGTCACTGTTGATTAAACTTGTGTGTTCTAGACTCTCATATAAATGGAATCATATGTGAATTACTTAGTGTCTGCACTCTTTCTTCAAACATTATACTCCTTAGATTCATTCATATTATTCAGAAATGCCAGTAATCTGTTCCTTTTTATTGCTGAACACTAATTTCAGTATGAGTATACCACAATGTGTGTATCTCCTTACGTGCTGATAAAACTTTTCTAGTAATTACTGTAATGCTTTCATAGCCACAGTATCATATTTGATTAATGTATGAATGAAGTCAGAATGGATGTACTATGACAAAAGACTGAAATATATAAAAATGAGCTGTATTTCCATTTTAGGGAGACATTTTATGTCTTCCTTATAGACGTTTAAATTGTAGTTAAGTGAATAATACTGTGGTCTAAAGACCTAATTTTTATAAAATAAATCCAACAGTTTGTATAAAAATTTAAGATCTTTAAAATATTCTGGAGAGTTAGCAGGATATAAAATTTACCAAGCCACTCCCCAAATATAAATATATGTTTGCTCATGTAAAACAGATTTGGTAAAAAATTCAAATTACCATACAATTGTAGGAGCTCTGTTAATGTATTATGGCCTGTGCTTTGCTGCTAGTTGAAAAGTGCCTCTAAATTCTGCCACTTACTCCACAGGAAGAAAGGTAGGAAGTCTCCTTTCATGAAGACTGACAGCCTCAGAAACTCTGTAGAGAGTCACTATGGATTAGTTTACTAATGGCAATGGTTTTTGGGGTGTTTTAAAATACAGTTTTATGGATATATATTTACATCCATATATGCACACAAAGACCATGGTTTTGTGTCGGTTTTTATGTGCTATTGAGTCAGAACTACTCATAGCTCACTTTCAAGCAGATTCTCAGACTTCAGCCAGATGGATTGACGCAGTAACTGCAACAACGGGCTTGAGCACGACAGCGAGTGTGAGGATGGTGCAGGACGGGGCGCAGCGCAGATCTGTGGTTCATCGTGATTGACTACTGGTGCTTGACAACCGCAACAACAAATCGCACGGGACGAGATTGCTCATCCTTATCTTGTGGAGACACTGGAGGATTTGAGCCATGAGAAAAGTACCACCTATGGGTTGGCAGCTCAAACGCCCTCCGGAGTACACCACCAGAGCTTAAGCTTTGTGTTACTAGTGTGAATTATGTAGAATTTCTCTTAGCGTCCTATTAAGATGCAATGATGTTTGTATCCCACAAACTAGAAGCTTTTGGTGACCATGCAATTTTTATATTTACTTCTCATACAGAATGGATTTGTGATGTGTCGACGAATGGTCTGTGACTGTGAGAATCCAACAGTTGATCTTTTTTGCTGCCCTGAATGTGACCCAAGGCTTAGCAGTCAGTGCCTGCATCAGAATGGGGAAACGTTGTACAACAGCGGTGACACTTGGGTCCAAAACTGCCAGCAGTGCCGCTGCTTGGTAAGCAACTTTTTTTTTTTTTAGTCCTTGGGTTCTTATGTGTGTGTACACTATCATATCATTTGCATATAGGGACAGTTTCATCTCTTTGCTGATCTGGATGCTTCTTATTTCCTTCTCTTGCCATATTGCCCTAGCAAGTACATCCTATATAATATTGAATAGAAGTGGTAAAAGTGGACATCCTTATCTGGTGCCCATAGAATCCAAACAGGAAAGTGCCCATGCTCTCCTGCCATTGCTGTACACAGTATCTTGCCATGGTGTTTGGAATTATGAAAAGTTTGCTTGAGGTAAGTTAGGAGATGAAGGTTACATAGTCAGGACCCAGGAAGGAATAATCAGGCTGTGCACATTGTGTATTCCTATTTTCCTAGTGTAGTATGTCAGGTCACAGGAAGAAACACCTTTCCTGCTTCGTCCATGCCACACAGTTTAGGCTTACAGAGAGACAATTACATGTGCAACAATGGCATTCATGGGGAAAATTAACAGTTAAATATGGCTTTCTTTTTTTTTATAAGTGGAATTTTTGCAACATATTTCCATTGGTCATACTTAGACCAAAACAAAAATGGGCAGTACAAATCTGTTTAAGAGCCCGCTTTGTGCTTAATTTGAATATGCAATCATTCTAACGAATACTTTTTAGAAGTTTATTTCTGTGTACACTTGGTAAACTTCCTAGTAAGGAAGATACTAACAACTTGAAGATAAAGCAAACTCTTTTTTTCACTTGATCAAATTCCTTGTTTCTTTTTATCTTTTAAGTATAAAGGAAAATTGGTCTATGAGTCTCAGAGCAGAAAGTTTCACAGATGTTATGTTTAAAGTTACAGCCAGTTTCCTTTCTATTTGTATGAGGAATTTTTTTAAAGGCAATGTTTTTTGGTTGTTTCTATTTTGTTCTTTCCACCCAAAAATCAATTGAAAGTGTAAGGTCAATTTTGTGCCTGAAGGCTGGTTTCATCTCAAAAACCATGGCACTTAGAATTTATGAAGAAGATAGTGAAAAGATAGAAACTACATTTTTTAAAAAGATCCAGTTCACAAATTTTACCCATATAGAATAACAACAAAATACCAAACTGATTCTAGAGTCTCTACATTGAAAAATATGTATAAATCAACAAAGAAAAAACATCAAATTTCTTTCATATTTCCATTTATTTCCTTATAAATGGATAGATTTTTTTATGCTAAAGGGAGTAAATGAGAAGTGATGGAGGAAAGATCAAAAGAATGAAAAAGACATTTGATAAGCAAAAAGGTAAATAAAACCTGTTTCCATAGTAAATATCTCTTTGTCATGGGAAAGACATGCATACGAATTTTAAGAGGGAAAAAAAGATTGCTTTATTATTCTTGTTGAATCCTTGATAGAAACTTAAAAATATAGATCTCACACTGATAGAGCTTTTTTAGATTCTGCAAAATTCCTGGTTTGGGAGTTCTATTAACATTAATTAAATAAATTGAGTATTGAGTAAACAATTTGTTCCCTCCCTCCCCCTTTGCTTCTGTTTTCCTTACAGCAAGGAGAAGTTGACTGTTGGCCTCTGCCTTGCCCAGAGGTAGAGTGTGAATTCAGTGTCCTTCCAGAAAATGAGTGCTGCTCACGCTGTGTCACTGACCCTTGCCAGGCGGACACTATTCGCAATGACATCACCAAGACTTGCCTGGATGAAATGAATGTGGTTCGCTTCACTGGATCCTCGTGGATCAAGCATGGCACTGAGTGTACTCTCTGCCAGTGTAAGGTAAAGCCCATTAAATTCAAGTAAAGAGCTCTTTGCCAGCTGCATCCAAGGCTTATCAATATTTATGTGCTTAGCCTAGACAATGGGAAGCATTCTTCCCCCCTCCCCTCACTCATTGTCAGCACAGAAGTAGGAGAGCCACTCAGCTTTATTAATACCACGACAGGCTGTCGTATGCATTGTCTGATTCTGAGTGAAGATGAGGTCATGGTCAGAAAACTGAACAACCAGTTATTTATATCACAGAACAAAATGTCCCAACTGTACACATTTTCTTTTTTTAAAAAAAAGCAGTCAGAGGAAAACCATTGCAACAGCAAACTTCGTGTTTATTCTTTAAAATAGAAGACAATATTATGTTATTGATTTCTATCGCATTTTTTATGAGGTCTGTAGGATGTATTAATTAAGTAGATATATTACAAAGTAGATAGATTTCCAAAGTGGAAATCAATGTGGCAGGGAAAAAAAATGGGTATATGTCTTGGTTCCTCGTGGTCAATCACACTGAGTTGAAAAATTAAAGATGTGTACCATATTTTATTACTGCACTTGGAGAAAAATCATTGTAACGATTTTCTACTTATTCTCATGGGAAGATAGAGAACTGTGTTTTTTACTTCAATGAGAAACAAATACAAATAACAGAGTTCATAGATAGCATGGGTCCTACAACAATTTGATAATGGTCATTGTGCTTCACAGTCTTAATTCTTGATTCCCTACTAAATGAAATAATTAGTGACATTCAGCAAAACAATAAGAAAATAAAAAGTGGAGATGTCACATCTTTCTCAGCATAGCACAACGAGATACCTGTAAATACTCTGTATTTTGAAAGTGAGCCTCTCCATTTGATTTTCTTAGTAGAGCAATTTAATTCAGATTCAGTACAAATTCTTGCTTACGTGGCTTAAAGTAATAAGATCAATATATATAAAATGCTTTTGAAAATTATTTTCAAATGAAATGTTTTACTTTTCCAATCAATGCAATTTGTCAATCAAGAATGCATTTTGAATGAAATTTACTTTTTCTGAATGTGCATTGCTATTGTTGTTATGTGCCATTGAGTCACCTATGACTCATTGCAACCCTATGTACAAAAGCTCTGAAGCCTAACCTGCCCTGAGCCAGCCTCGTTTACTATGACACACCTATCTCCACTACCTTTATTACTGTATCAGTCCATCTCATCTAGAGACTTCCTCTCCTGCTCTGTCCTTCTACCCTTCTGAGCGTGATGTCCTTCTCCAAGATTCAGTCCCTCCTGACCACATGCCCAAAATATGTAAGACGGAGTTTCACAATCCTAGCCTTCGAAGAGAAACATGGTTTCACCCTCTCTAGGACAGACCTATTTTCTTAGCGGTACAAGGGATGTTCAAGACTTTTCTCCAGCACCACAACTTAAAGGCATCAATAATTCTTCTGTCATCCTTAGTCATTGTCCAGCTCTCTGATGTATAGCAAATAATTGTGAAGATCATAGGCTGGATAAGGTATACCTTAGTCTCTAGACTGACATTGTTGCTTCTCAGTACTCTGGAAAGGACCCTTACAGTAGATTTACCTAATGCAATAATTTGTCTTTTGATTTCCTGACTGCTGGTGCAAAGAGTGCTGACTGTGGAGCTAAGCAAGCTGAAATTGATAACAACTTCAATCTCTTCTCTACCCATCATGGTGCTGCCAAATGGCCCAGCAGTGAGAATCTTTGTCTTCTTGATGTTGATCTTCAATTCATACCGAATACTATAGTCCTTGCCGTTCTGCAGCAAGTGCTTCAGGTTCTCTCAGTCTCAGCAAGCAAGGTTGTGTCATCTGCATAATGTAGGTTGTTGATGAGTCTTCCTCCAATTCTGATGTCACATTCCTCGTCATAAAGCCCAGCCTTCAATATGATCTATTCCACGTATAGATTGAAAAGCAATGGAGACAATACGCATCCCAGGTGCACTTCCTTCCTGATTTTGAAATACTCACTGTTTCCCTGCTCTGTTCTGAGGACTGCTTCCTGGTCCTAGATTTTTCATGAGCACAGTTGGTTAACCACAATTTGTCATGATCCACACAGTCAAAGACCTTTGCATAGTAAATAAAACACAGATAGACGTTCCTTTGATTTCAGCCAAGACCTGTATGATATTGGTGAAACTAGCATAATAAAAAAAAATAAAAAAATACTAGTACTAAGAAAGATTTCTAATTATGTATATGCAATATTCCTTTAAAAAAAAAACTCTTAGGGAGCTCTGGTGGTCTAGTAGATACGGTGTGATGCCTACCCCAAAACGAGAAGCTCTGATGGACTGGTTGCTCTGTAAGGAGGAAAGATAAGCAGTCTCCTCCTATGTTATTTATAGCCTCAGAAAGCCCACTGAAGGATTAGCAAGACAGAAGTTAAAATATTTTTAAAATATGAATAGCTTGCTTGTTTCCACTATCAACACTCTTGGCACCAGCAGTCAGGAAACAAAAAGACAAATTGCATTAGGTAAATCTGCTGTCAGGGACCTCTCAAGGATGTCAGTCTAGAGACTAAGGTACACCTGATCAAGGCCATAGTCTTTGCAATTATTTGCTATAATCAGAGTGCTAGGCAATGACTAAGGTTGACAGAAGAAGAATTGATGCCTTTGATTTGTAGTGCTGGGGAATAGTCTTGAATATACCATGATCTACCAAGAAAACAAATCAGTCTGTCATGAAGAGGGTGAAACTAAGTTTCTCCTTGGAGGCTAGGATTGTGAAGCTCTGTCTCACATACTTTGGGCATGTGTCCAGGAGGGACCAATCCGTGGAGAAGGATATGCTGCTTGGAAGGGTAGAGGTACAGCACAGGAGAGGAAGACCCAGGATGAAATGGCTTGAAAAAATGACTAGGGCAATGTAGGTAGGTGTGTCAGAGTCAATGAGCCTGGCCCAGAACAGGGTATGCTTCAGAGCTGTTGTACATAGGTTTACCATGAGTAGCAGATGACTCGATGGCACATAACAGCAGCAACATGAATATTTTTTGCATACCATAGAGTCAGAACTGAACCATATCGACCCTCAAGCTGACTTTCAGAGGTAGTTAATCTCATGGGAAGAGATTGTCCACTCTACTCCCACAAAGGAGCTGGTGGTCTTGAACCATGTGCATTTTGACAGCAGTGCATATTCTTGCTACTAGACCACTAGAGCTTCCTAAAAATACTTAATTTTATAATTGGAGATCTTGGGGTCTAGTGGTAGGAAACTGTAATGCAACATCAAAGGCACAAGGTTCCAATCCAGCAGCTACCCATGGTAGAAGGATGGGCAGTCTCCTCCCATGCGATTAACTGGCCATGAAGACTCAGGTGAGAGTCAGCTGTGGATCAGTTCCAACTTTACAGCCCACAATAGCAACAATTACTAAAAAAGGTTTCTAATAATGATATATAATGAGTTCATTTAGCAATATAGATCTCAGAATATCTTCACTAATAGTAGAGGTGAGGTCCCTTACACCCTTTGTCTAAATACTTGATATGAGAAAGCAGAAATATATACTAAGTAATAATGTGCAAAACACTGCTCAGACAGGTACTTTCATTAATAATAATAATACAGTCAACTATAGTTATAAAACTGTAAGCATGTTTCTGGAAAAAAAAGAGCAATTCTTAGGATCTTTTGATACTTGGTAGGAATATATTCCAAAAAGGTATTAGACAACTAAATAATTTATTGGAGAAATTCTAATTCTCAGAAATTACATTTGATACTGTTTCTCTTTTTCTTCTGATTAGTTACATAAATATGCTCAATTTGACCAAATTTAACCCAAAAATTGTTTAAAATTGTGTTTAGTTAGTGCTATTTTTAAAAGTCATATTTCTGCAAAATTCAGTGGTACAATGTGGTAAGTGTTCACAATTTTACCTTATTAGTACCTGAGTTATTTGCTTTAGTCAGTAAGTATCAACTGTGCACATTAGAGTGATACATACCAGGGGTTTAATAATACACAAGAAATTCCAGGATATTATTGTCTAGAGATATGCTATACAAAATGCTAATCAGCCACCACATGTGGCTGTTAGAATTTATTAATTAAAATGAAATACACTTAAATATTCAATTGTTCAAGTGACATTACCCTTCTCTTCTGTCCTTAATGGCCAGATGTGTTCATGTCAATCGTATTAACACACATAAAGAACATCATCACTGCAGAAAATTCTTTTAGACAGTTGTGGTATAGAGGTCAGCATATGGGCTCTAAAATCAGATTGCTCACATTCAAAGCCTGGTTTAACCACAACTAATAGGACCTCAGATAAATTCCTCAAGTTCTGTGACTGAGTGTGATCACCTGAAAAGTAGCACTAGTAGTACCCACCTCTAGTGGTGTATTCCGCAGGGCGTTGAGCTGCTTACCTAAAGACCACATCTCTCTAGTGATTTGAATCCACTAAAAGATCCAAGGGAGAAAAATGGGAAATCTCCTCCTGTGCCGTTTACAGCCGGAGAGATCAAATGGAGGGTTAGCTAAACTCCATGTGGAGTCACAACAGTGAGTTGGAGGTGTTGTTTGTTTTGTTTGAAGTTTCTATGTAGGCATAGAACCAGCTTCAGAATCACTGTAAAGATTAGATGATTCGTACCGAAGGCTGCTTAATGTACTCGATACTTGCATAAGTAGCTCTGGTAGCCTAGTGGCAAGAAGCTGTGCTGCATTTCCAAAGGCAGGCAGTTCAAATCTACCAGCTGCTCTATGGGAGAATGATGGGAATTCTCCTCCAGTGCATTAACTACGTCTAAAAACCCACAGGAGGGTCAGCTACGGGTCAGTTCCAACTCGACACAACAACAAACTCTGTAAATATTAGTTAGTGAAGTAAGTGGGCATTGATAAAGTGGTGACATGAGTAAAGACAAAGTTGAAAACTCATGAATGTTTTAAACGAAAGTCATACAACCTGTGAATCAATGCTTTTTGAGGAAATGACATTGTTCAAAAAATCTGA